GCTAAGCCATTGCAGCCTGGCCAAAACTTCAGGGATACATTCGGATACATAGGTTTGACTGCCACACACACATCACCCCACGCTTGCCCAGGGCTGTGGAAGCTTTGGGCTTGGAGAGCAGAGCCAAGTTGCTGCCTTAGCGTGCCGCAGCCAATGGTCAGGGTGTGCCCCAAACATGACCTAGGTCTGTGCAGCCTCGAGGAGTGGATGCTAGCAAGATCAAACCGAAAAAGCGGGTCAGCGTGAGAGCCAAGGGAAAGCCCCAGCCGAAGCCAAAGGCCAAGGCGCACGCTTCTACAGGGAATGGCGAAAAGCCAGAAACTGGCAGGAAGCGCAAAGCACAGAACTGATCAGATCCCAGAATTTTGTCTGGGTGTTTTTCCGCTTTTCCATCGCGCCCTCCTGCGGTATTGTTTTTCAATGAGAACAGAAAACCTTTACCTTAGTGTTTTCTTTGGGGTGGATGGAAAGGTGCTGGGGGGGGGGGCAGCTGCTTTAGAAATGAGCAGCTGAAAAATCAGCAATGGCAAGCATCACAAGCAAGGCTTGTGTCGGGCGAAAAATGCTGCGCGCTAACCTTGCTAGCTTTGAGGGAAGCAATGAAACGCACTCGCATGTGGATGGGGTGCTTGGAAGTACCTGCTGCACATGCCAGGCACACACGAGCCGAGTGGCCCCTGCAAGAGACCACTTGAAGAAGCTTATGCCGAAGCAATTTCCGACGGGGCCTGGACCTCATTAATTCAAGCAACCCAAACCTTTCTCTGAAGAGTGGGGCTCACCTGGATTGTGTGAATTGGGATTGCCTAACACCTTGCCTGTGTCCTTCAGCTTGGCGACGTCCAAGGTCCCTGCCACTGCCTGCGCTAGGATCAGACATGGAGCTCTTGTAGAAGCTGGTGATTGGGACAACGTCAACAAATTTGACAAGGGCCCAAACGCTATGAGGGATGCCTTTCGCGCGGTCCGAAGATGGGGAATAGGGTGGCGGGCGCCTATTGATAAATTCAATTTTCAATGTGAAGACGGCTCCTGGATTTGCATCGGGTACCTGCACCCCAAAAATATGCTTGAGTATCTCATCAGCAAACATCCCATCACCTTGCTCGGGGTTCCTGACCTGGAGGTTGGAAAGTCTCACTGCTACGCTTTTTGGAAATCATACCGCGACTTTCACGGCACGCACGAGGTCTTCAACCATTTCGCAAGTGAAGCTCAACTGAGTCACATCATACCTGTTGCTCTCCATGGCGATGAGGGGCGTGGCAAGCGCCGTTCCAACACAACAGTGGCTTCATGGGAAGCGGTTCTTGGACATAAGGGCCACCTATCTGAATGCGGGGATTGTGTGCCAACCCATCTCGACCCAATTCCACACGCTGACGGCCAGAACCTGCTTGCACACAAGCTGAAGTCCAACATGAAGGGGCACTCTTTCATCCAACACTTTGTATCTTTTATTTTGCCCGGTGTTCTCCTGGCCGGAGTGAGTGGCCTTCTAGATGCGATGCTAGCAATGCTGGCGGACGAGTTCGCCAAACTTTTCCGTGACGGAGTAGTGGTATGTGGCACAAAATGGCGCATCGGTGTAGTCGGATGTAAGGGTGATCTGAAATGGCACTCCAAAGTGTGCCATCTCATTCGAGGCTACGAAAACAAAAGCCCAACCCTTGATGCTGCGTGCTGCCATCTTTGCCACGCCGGGCTCCCAGGGCTGCCTGCTGAAGACTTGTCCGAACAGCCAGCTTGGCTTCGAACTTTATACACAACCCGGCCGTGGCACCCAGCAGCGCCACCCGCGGTCCACCGGATCCCGTTTGACAGTGCCCGCCCTGAATTTATGTACAAGACGGATGGGTTCCACACACTACGCCTCGGACTATTTCGAGATTTTATTGGGAGCACAATCTTTCTATTGATTCGCTGGGGTTTTTTCCTTGGGCAGGGGGATGTGCCGACCAAGTTGAACGCAGCATTTGGACACTTTAGGCTCTGGCTTCGGAACGAAGGCAAGACTGCCTCGCTCCGTTCTTTTACAAAAGCGTTCTTTGCTTATTCCAATCGGCAATCTTTCCCTTGGGTAAACGCCAAAGGATCGGACGTTACCCTTTTGTTGAAATGGCTAGCTGTGACGGCGGTTGCAGCAATCAATAGTATTGAGGATCCTCACCGTCTAGAGCCTTTACAAGTTATTCTTTCTGTTGCACGTTTGGCCATTGACTGGTTCGACCTCATCAACTCACATGGCCTGTGGTTACGCCCATCGTGCGGCGCGGTGCTGTATGAGAAAGGACGCGCCCTCGTTTGCGGGTATGGGTGGCTGGCCAACTATGCTTTCCAACACCAGGAGTGCCTTTATGCTTTGAAGCCAAAACTCCATTTTCAGACGCACGCCTTGATGGAGCTGCGGGCCCAGCTCGATGGCCGCCACCAAGCCATCCTGAGCCCAGTCATCTGGGATTGCCAGCAAAATGAGGATTGCATAGGCAGAGTGAGCAAGTTGAGCCGAATCCTAGACTCACGAGTTGTGACCACAAGGGTGCTCGAATCGTATTTAGTGAAAGCTGGTATTTTGCTCCAACGTTCCCAACGGCAAGGCGCGTAGCTCTGAGGCCAAGGCATCACCGGCTGTGCGATGTCTTTGGTCGCAGGTGATAGAGCCCATCAGCGGGGCCGGCGAGCGAAACAACCATGTGTGGTGATGTCGTCCTGGGTTTGTTTTGGGTAAACAGGGTTGAAACAATGTTTTGAGCTCCCTCCAACTGAAACTGCTTGTGTCTGGGGCAAAGGAGAGGCCTGCGTAGGAGCCGCAGGGTTACCGGCGTGCTTGGGCACTAAACACCTTTTTTCACCATGAAGCACCCAAACTTTTCTGGGGCGGCGCGTATTTTGATTATTTCACCAAACGCCTAAAATTATGCGCAAGCGGATTTCATAGGTATGATTGTGGAATACATTCCTTTCTGTGATACCAAAGCGGTCCATCCCTTTGACTACGTGGGTAAGTAACGTTCGAAGAGGGTTCCATTTGTATCACAGAAACCGGCAGCCTGAAACCACGTTTTCCACAACGATGAAAATCACACCAGAACGGTGGATCCCCATGACTTCTTGATCTCTTCAACGGGGGGGTTCCCTTGAATAGGTGCTGAAACAGAGTTTTCACAACTGTGACCATGAACCTTCGTCCAGGGTTCCCAATATTTCCGCCATCCAGCAAAAGCTCACTTTAAAAGGAACCAAAAGGTCATGTCTGAAACCCCCTCCCGAAGAAAAACAAAAAGAAACACCCCAAACACCCGCCCCAAACGAAAACAGAAAAACAACAACAAGCCTCCCACCCCCCCTCCCCGAACCCTGTCTGCCAGCAGTCAACCGCATTGTGCTCGCGACCTGAGCCCAGGACGCACCAGGCGTGCTTTTGTTGCCCAAGGACTCAGTTGCGACGGAGATGGCTGGCATTCGCTGTCCCGCTGTCCCCCTCGTGGCCATGGGTAAAAAGCCAAATCGTACCCCCAGTGAACATCCCAATCCCAACTAAAATAGGTTCTAAAATGGGTGGTGAATTCACTGACCCCAAAATGGTGCCATTGGTTTTGACCCACAGCCTCATATCTCCAAACATGACGGGCTGTCTGGGTGTGTCTCTTTTTGAGGTACTTGATTGTTTGTGTGTTTAAACGGAAACCAAAAGGACAAACCTTTCGTTTGTTGGGGTCCGACTCCAAAAAACAGGCAACACCCCTGTGGGCTCCATGTTCAGCAGGAGAGCAACTCCGTCCGAGTTGTGGGGCAAGCTGGCCAAAGATCGAGCAGTCAAAGCGACCTGTGCCATCAGACACGGTTTTCATCGAGGGGAACTGACCAAAGCGCCCTCCCTTGGGTTTGCAACATGGACACAAGAAAGGGTATATACCTTCAAAATAAACACTCGCACGTAGCCATACATAAAAACAAAACACATGTTGAACTTCTGAATTTCCACAAGACAGCGTCCACGATCCTCCAGCCTCATTTGGAGCATCCAGGATCTTGGATGTCGTCATGTTGGCTCGTGAATCCCACCCGAAAGGGACTCACCAAGAAGGAATCCTTTATATCAGTTGCCAAGGACCCAGAAAGAAAAGGTGATCACCTGTTACGACTAAAAATCAGAAAACTCAAAGTTGTCACAGCCGAGAAATGGTTCGCAACCCCCTCAAAGGGGTCGGCGAGGTCGCGTCAAAGTCTGTTTCATAGTTTGTTTACCCTAAAATACCTCCATTTGCTTAAGTCCCAGGGAAAATATTTCCAGTAGTCATAGATTCCCTTTGAAACCGGGGAAAGTAAATAATGTTCATTTCAGGCAAATATGAGATAGTCGCGGAGAACCCAATTACATGAGAGCCCCGACAAGATCTCCAAGCACCCATCTATCTGTTAATTTCCCCACTTGCAAAGGCCCGACACGGCCTTTGCACCAAGAAGGGACAGCAAATATATATATATATATATATGTATATATATGTATATATATGTATATACAAGTTAGACGCAAAGCAACAGGTGGTCGTTGCCGTTGGAGAAGTAGGCAGTCAAAACATGAAACCCTGTATATATATATATATATACACATCATATGCATGTACAGTATTCTTGCCAGTGAAACTATGCTGTTACCCGTTCCTAGGCATCGAACATTAGGACACTCCGCCTGGTTTTGCTGCTGCTCACGATTTCCCAAAAGGATCTCTGGTTTTCACTCGTCCACAGATTAGGATCTTTGATTAAAACCTCGTCCCTGGGTTTTCACGGATTCATCCCCATGCGAACCACATTTGAGTGAACAACAGCGACTTTCTCTGATTGTGACCGACTTTCCATGTTGGCTCTGCGCGATACCCAAACTGATGGGCCTGAGTAGTTGTCTTTCTTCTTTTTTACGTGCTTGGGTTTTGAGGGCATCGCGCCCCCCAAATACTGATTCGCTTCCTTTTGCTGGTCGTATCAGGACCCGGTCTTCACCTCGAGGCACGCGTCCCCTTCCTCACCACTGCCCCGACGGCCGGGCGCCGCGCCGCCTTCTTGGTCACCAGGGAGCTGGCGGTCCATTGGCCACGGTCTGGCCTCGAAACGGCGAGCGGCGAGCGAGCGGCGGGCGAGCGAGCGGCTTTTTGTGGAGGGTGGCAGCATCCCCTTCGCACGAAAGGAAACCATGATTGAAACCCTTGCTTCTTAATCATAGTTGCAGGGGAATCATTAGTCTAGGGTTTCTTAGGTGGTGCAGGAGATCGGAATACTGTATGGAAAGAAAATACGCTAGTCTCTCGACCGTCTCCTGGTGGCCATCTCTCTCCGCTTCATTGGCGCTTTCGTTGGGTCGCACGGATGGCCCGGGAAGAGCCGACTTTTTACCATACAAGCCCACAACACAAGCCCGGTCCGGCCGAGATGGGAAAGCAGATGTGTGCACCGTGGCCATGGGAAACCAGGGCATCGATCTTCTTTTGGTTGGGTGAGTTTAAAGGGGACCCCTCCCCGGACTCCCCAAAGAAAGTAAAAACGGGCGCCACTGGGCAAGTGGGTGTTGTACCTGTGCCAACCCAGTAAGGAGAAATAATTTGGGCCCAAAAGCAAGTGGAACTCAGGGTGGCTTCTGGGTTTTAAAGCCCGTACTTCCAGATCCTCTAATGAATGGGTTCTAACGGATGGAGGTTCCTCAAAATTGTGAACACCTTTTGGGTTGGTGGCTTGAACAAAAGGACATTATGCTGTGTTTTGTTTGTCTTTTTGTTTTCTTCCTTTTTGGGGGGAGGGTCGCCTGTTTTGAGACACCCCCGAATGAGTTTGTTTGGGATGCTACACACATGATTGTCCTTGAGCGCAAGCGATCGGAATACTTTGGAACCCGTTCAACGGGCCCATCCTCGAGCTGGGGATAAGACTTCTGATTCTGCCGGTTCGTCGTGGGAAGCATTGACATGCGTCCAGCGAGTCCAGCAGTGCCATCCACCTTCTTCTCCTAGCAGTACCCAGGGCTGGGAGCAACGTTGGTGACGAGAACCACCAAACCACCAAGCTCCAAACCACCAGCTAGGTGGGGGGAAGCTGAAACATGGTTCAAACATGCTTGAACGACTTGAATCGCCCAACTCTGGCCGTATCCGCCTATTCTCTAAAACCACCCTGTAAAAAGCCCTACAGTAGGCAAACCGGGATTAGCCTTTTCCTCTCCGGTGATTATTTGTCTTTGTTGCCTACAGTGCTACATAGCAGTACAGCAAATGGAAGTACTGGGAACTCTCTAGAACGAGCCTCAATTCGGCGCGTTCACATATGGCTGTCTCAAAGCTGAACATGCCTCCTTGTGGTTCAACACCACACAAAACTGGGCTGCCCTCAGATCCCCAGCTAAAAGTTTTCAACTTTTATTAAATGGAAACCCAACCACTAAACCAACTAAGAAGCTAAAAAGCTAAGAAACCGGATGGCTGGGAGCCAGCAAGAAAACTAAAAATCGCCTCCAAAAATCGCAAACACATGTGAGCCATGGCGAACATCACCAAGGTGATTCCCCAACCTTGGTATGGGTCCATTTGCCTAAGCCCCCGGGAAAAAATGAGGAAATATGTCAATCAGTGATAGATTGCCTTTGAAACGAATAAAACCAACCAACCAACCAACCAACCAACCAACCAACCAAACAAACCAAACCCAACCAAACCAAACCCAACCAAACCACACCACACCACACCACACCACACCACACCGAACCAAACCAAACCAAACCAAACCAACCAACCAACCAACCAACCTGCCAGGGTTGGCCCTGTGCCAGGGCTAGGCCAAGAAAACAAAAGCACCCTTTCCTTAAAACCAACCAGGGACATTAAAAAACAAAAACAAAAACACTTAAGCAAATGGAAGCCAAGCCTCACACGTTGCGAGCCATGCCAAACGCCCCCCCTTTCCGCCGATGCCAAACGCACCCGCGCGCGTTGCAGCTCGCTCTGCAGGCCTTGAGCATGTCGAGGAGGAACCTGGCCCATGAGCTGACAGGAATTGTAGAAGATGGGTGTCTCAGATGCCCAGTGGATTTCCACGGGAAGAAAAGGAAAACAAGAAACGGCACCCGATTTTTATTTTATTTTATTATTTTTTTGTGGGGTGACTTTAAAGGGCAACCCTTACCCAAAAAAAGACGAAAGGGCACCACTGGGCAACAGAGGTGTCTTTTCTCACCCAGTGGATCCATTTACCTCTATAGGTAACCAGAAAAGTCACCCTTGAAAAACCAAATGGAAAATAGCTGGTTACCTACAATAAGGGTAACTGGCATGGACCCCCGCAAAAATGGTGTCTTCCTTTCGGAAACCTGGGCTCGCCGTTTTCTGATCCCCTGCGAAACGCTTAACTTGTGGGTGAAATGGAAACCCCCGCGAAGCCAACTCAAAACCTAAACACCTGGAACCAAATGGCAAGGAACCGACGGGTTCGGCTCGGGGACCGCGACGGCGCTGACCACGTTTCGCTCTAAGCTTGCCTCAGCAAGATTTGAAGGAGTTTGATCTTCTCCTTTTTGTATTGCAGAGTCATGATAGGAGTCCTTTTGGACAAAAGAGTAAATGGAACAAAACCAATCCAAACCAGTGCCATCACAGTGCCATCTATGTCTATTCTCACTAACCTAATTTGGACACCTATGGGTCATGATGCTTGACAACCATTTTGATACCAGGTTCTGGTTGTGACTCGCCCAAGCGGTGACTCACTCCCTCAGTTCCTGGACTTTACACTTTGCGCGGGAAGACCAGCTTCGTGGTAAACAGCAAGTTTGGACGTTTTGTTGGGCAGTCAACCACACAGCATCCTGATTGCGTACCCAGGCAATGCAGCCTTTCCACCGCTGGCTGTGCTTCGCTTCTTCGACTGCAAAGTTAGGCTCGTTTGGGCGCGGGTGCGTTGGACATCCATGTGTTAGTCATGTAGCTATATAGCTTAAGCTTGCGTAAGTCTTCTTCTAAGCTTGAATAGTCATTTTGGCCGAGTTTGCCTGATTTCCTGAAGAACTCCCTCATGGTACGGAAACATTGCTGGGATTCTCAGTCTGGCTCGACCCTGCAAAAAGTGATAACCAACTTATGTACAATTTTGCCCTTTATTCGGTGCCCCTCGTTCGACATGGCCCTGGAATTTGGGTGCAGGTTTTACCCTGGAACTACACCCAGCATCGTGCGGTACCATGGTTTGATAGAAACCGTTGTTGTTTTCATGCCCGTGTTTCTTTTCGTTTTGTTTTCCTTTTGCACTGTGTTGAGTCGTACATATCCTGAAAGATCGGGTATGCCCTGGTGGAATACAAAACCCTATGCCTAAACCGAACGGGATGGACAGTTGTTAAACACATAGCCACCCCCGTCCGGTGTCCTGTGGAAGAATTGATCAAAGTCTCTGATGCAGGAATATGCAGGAACATGTCCTTCAATTCAGCCTTTGCAGGTTGATGTTATCGATTTTATTTCCATCACAATCCGTCGCTTGTACTGATACGCCCAGCGGATACCAGTTACCCACATAGGCAACCACAGCAAACCATCATGCGAAACCTGTGGTAAGAATCCAGGTCACCTAATGTTGACCTCGGATGAACAAGCCCCTGGTTGAATTTTTCGGAGGGGGGCAGGTCTTTCGTGGGTCCGAGACGACACCTTGGGACGGGCTCTACTTAGATCTGGGGTAGCCTGCCGGCTCCGACCGACCTCGGCTCAAGTCTCGCCGGGACCACTGCTGCTTTCGAACCAGGCGCTCAGTCATGGAAGTGCTGGTGTAGACCGCCTGAGCCCAGAGAGAGACAGGGGGAGCTTCTGGTCGACCTAGTTTGCTTTGTCGTACCCGTCGAGGCGTTGTCCAAGACGGACAACTCGCTTCAAAATGAGACCCCCCCCCCTGCGATCCCGTCCCACACGGCAACGTGACTTTCACGTGGTGTCCATTTCAAACCGAAAGTGGCCTCCCAACCAATTGCCCGGTCCCAGAGAAGTTACCCTCCAGACCCAGCCCTGACTCAACATTCCGCGCACCTCCGCCGACTGAACTTCCATCTTCCCTTTCCTGCCGTCGAGACATTCGAAAACGGCAACCATTTCTCCGGCGCTCGCACTCCCTGTACAACCTGGGCTTGGAGTTTGGGAGTTTAGGTTGTCCATTCATGTCCTCCCAACAGTAAACTCCAATCGTACCACTTTGGAACCATGACAACCCCTTGCTTGTTGGTACAGGGGACTCATCTTTCCATCATTTCAGATCCATCAACCCCAGTTCATTCATGCTGTGGATGGACGTAATCTGAATGATTCCCCTGTACAAACCAACGAGCAAGGGCTTTTCATGGTTTCCAAGTGGTGCAGAATTTCGCCCATCCACAGTACTCATGTGAATACCTGATGCTACGAGAATGGCCTCTGCTTAAAGTGATAGGGGATCACCGAAAACTGATTTGGTAGCATTGTCCGTTGCTCATGCAGCCACGAAGATCCAATCCCCAAAGAGAGACTCCAGTCCTCAAAATGGTTTGTTCTTTGGGAAGGTCCATGGGGGAAACTTGTTGAAAAGGATGCACTCTGACCCTTGCCATGGAATTCAGCAGAGAAACGGCCCCTGAAGGAAAACTGTCCTAAGCCAGGACCCGAAACCAGAGGTTTCGGAAAATGGTCCTTCAAATAAAGCCAGGACCCCGGAACGTCAGGTTCCATGTTGGTGGACCAGAGGGTAGGCAAATTGGGTCCCTCTGGTTTCTGGCTGTCCCCAAGACTCCTCCCCATACGACTCACAGGCCTGGTTCGTGGGCAAAACTCCAAACCTCCAAGCATTTTCTCGACTGGATGCCTAGACCTCAAACAAACTCCTCTGATTCTTTTGGCAAATATGCGATGCCGGTACCTCATCATGAAGATGTCGAGCTTGGGCCTTTTGGCAGCCAAGAATAGCTCGAAGGGACCTGTGACGAAAGAGGGTAAAGCCGCCCTTTGATTCGTTGGACAAAAAACAATCTCTGTTCGGATCACTGCCTAATCGCAAACGCGTGCGCATCGATCCCAAGCCCTCCTGACGTTGGAGAATAGGTCAAAAGATCCCTGGCTGATGATGAAGAACTCATGCCTCGGTCTTCGCTCACCGTTGCAGCTCGTTGAGGGATACGAGGGGATAGCCATGGTTGTGGACATCTGTACCCCGGTTTGTGATACCCATAGTGGGCCAGTCGTGTAGTCTACTCCATTGGGGAACTCCCCCAAAAACTCATTTTTCACCGCAAAAACCGACCGGGGTGGAATAACCCGAGCGGGGCATTTCCTTTTCGCACCGATTCTGAAACTAGGCTCTTAGTCACACACAACTCCAAGCTCTGCGGCTTGACAAGTGAAGGTCTAATCGGCCATACTGCATATATATATATATATCCAATATCCAAGCTTCCCCATTCTTTTCAGGGATCCTTCTTTCTAGAAAGCCACCAAAAACCCTGGGGACATGGCTGGTTTTTGAAAAGAACGATGGCTGAAAAGAATGGGGAATCAACCCAGAGAAATATAATCACCTACCAAGCTGGCGAACAGGCTTCGGTTTTCACTCGAGTGATTCATTCTCAGGCAAAAGCCCAAGGCTGTTGGCAACGGCGATCTCCAGATCTGGGCCCACCTGCACCCGACCTCAGTGGCACCAAGCGGCGGATGGCTAAAAAGAACCCCAAGGAACTCGACCTTGGGACCACAAAAATTCGGACGTGCCTTTCCTGGGGCTCCCCTTTTTGCTAGCGGTTTTCAAGGGAACCCAAACCATTTGGCAACCCACCTTGTTTGTAAGGAACGTCGGTTTTAAGTTTTACGTGCCACCCAGTTTTCAAAGTAACCCAAACCATTTACCATTTAGTTTTCCTTGAACCCAAAAGGAAAACCGGACTGTTATTTAAGTCACTTATCTATTATTACTATCTTTGTCGAGACGGGGGGGGGTTCTAAAAAAATGACACACCCGGGCCAGCATGGTCTTTCCAAGTCCAGGGTCCACCTCAAAAAGCCCACAAGTCGAGTCCTCGTTTTTCTTCCTGGCAAGTCGAGCAACAAGGCCCCAAGTCGACATGGGAAACAAGCTTCGCCGCTTGGAACCTGGTCTGAACACGGGCCGGAATTGGGCACTTTTGCATTTTTTTTGTCAACTGAGAGACAGGGATTGCCGAAGTATTGCAAGTACATCGACCGCAAACTGTGCTCAAATCTCCCCGGGCACCACCTTGGGCCGCGGTCCTTTGCAGGGTTCATACATGAAGCCGAGAAACCTTTGCGCATGCAAGATTGATTCAACCCCCTACTGCACATAATAGAAAACACACAAAAGAGGATTATTCGGCTGCCAAACCGGCATGACCTGCTTTGGTTGGGACCATGCGTGGACCTGTGTACTGTAGCAGACTGACAGCTAGAATGCTTTGTTGTGGGAGTTGCACTTAGAGTTTGGTTGTTGAATTATCCCTTCGGCCCTTGAAGATTCATTGGAAGGATGATTCGCATAGGTTCCGAAGGGGAGTGGGATCTGTTCGTAATCAAGCTTGCGACAGGTAAAGTCGTGAAGCCTGCGCCATCTTCCTAGTCCCTGCATCGTATGTTGATTGCATCTGGGCAAAGTATCCCACCTTGAAGGTGTAGAAGCAGCTTCCCGCTTGGTTTCCTTTGGTACAGCTTGAATGGGCGATTTAGACACAAAAACACGGGAGCTGGAAAAAAAAAGGTAATCGTCGTATACCTTAAAGCTCCCAAGGCTCCCATTAAAAGAATGGCAAGGACCCGATTTAGATGATGACAATCCTTAGGGGTGGCTACATAGCCTCATTGTTTTCATGGTGGCTTGCATCTCATGTCCTCACAAACGCAACGGCAAACAAATGAGACCAGCTACGCTCTCCACCAGCGAGCCTATGGGTACTGTAAACCAGGGGTCACTGGATTTCTCCAAACCCAAAGTTGACCAATTTACCGGTGGCGTCCATTGGAAGGATCGGAATCCACAAATGGCTCGGACGTGTTGGTTTAGGCCACTTTCCACAGGTGTGAGGTATGGACAAATACGCCCGGGGCACCGGCGCGCCCGCGCTGCCTAGGGGTCGGATGCGTGTGGCTCCAATTTTTCGGCCCGGACATGTATCGGGTACAGGGGGTCTTTTTGTAAGGCTGACCTAACCCCTCAAGGCCGGATTTAAGGTCTTATTCTGGGCTCATCCTGGGATAGACCCCCAGCCCCCCAGCCCCCCCGCAAATCTCGACCAAAGGGTCTTGCCCCATCTCACCATCCATGCCCTTCAAAGTGGTAACAGGGAAACCGCCCCGGTTTCGGACTTCCGGAAACACTCGACTGACGCAAAAACTCAACAAAAACTCAAATGACGCAGGCGGTGGCCCCGGTGAACGCGCGGCCAACCAAATCGGAGCCTCGCCATTTGGAGCTTCGGCCACCGATCAAGGAAGTGCTTGCGACAGAATATATAAATATATATGCTGGGATTGAAAACACCACTGAAACCATCGGGGCTCATATAACCACCATTGTGTACCTAAGGATTCTCATTCAAATTGGGTCAACCTTTCTTTTAATGCGGGTTGAACCCTAGGCTAGAAATAAAAAACATATATATATATATATATTGTTTTCGAGGTGCAGCAAGCCAACGGGTCCCCGGTTGCAAGCAATTGGGTGTTGCTCTTACTGGGCACCCTGCTAACAGAAATGGCTTCGTGCAACGACCCCTTTGGAAAGACGACTTTCCGAATGGAAATGAGCCGAGGCGCGCCGAACAATGTTTGTCTGTAGGGATGCAAAGTTCCCAGTGCTTGGATCACAGCAATGGGTCTGAACAAGCAAAATTATAAGATCTTGACACGTCGCATTTCGGAAAGGCCTAGGCTTCATTGACATGATCAGGCGATGCATTCGGACAAGTGAACCAGGGTCAACCAGTTCTTCAGGCCCACAACTTCAGAGAAAAACGGCGCCGGGACCAACCCACCCCCGTTGCGACAAATCACCACCGCGACATCCACAAGAGGATGTTCGTCACAGTCAATCCAACATCCGTCTTCTGTGGCTTCTGGGGACTCCTGTCGCTATCCTGTGCCTGTTGCACTGCGCTACGGATTTGCTCCTGGACATCAAGCAAAACAAACACATCTATGCAAAACCCGAAGAATCCAGCCAGCCATTCTTCCGGGCGAGTTGGGCGCTAGCCAAACAGCAGCCCTTGCGCATCCGAGGAGGGCGGCTAAAACCGCATATCGCTGGCAACCAGTCCCTACTTCGCGACATGGCGATCGAAATCTGAAGCCTTGGCTTTCAACTTTGAGACTGCATTTGAAGTAGATGAAATATTGATGGATGAAACTACGAGATCCGATTTGCTTCTGTGTTGACTGGAAGTCAACTTGAAAACCAAACTCGCGAAGCGGCTGTTGTCTTTGTGAAGGTCAGAATTCCCTTTGACCAAAGAGCTCTTTCACATCTCTTCTTACATTCCCAGTTGGAGGAGTGTTTTTTCCAACAATCTATTGACTCTTCTCGAAATCACATCAGCCAGCTTGGCCCCATGTAGAAAGGGCAGTAGGCATGTGTTAAAAAACAAGTGCCCTTAACCAACAAAGGATACGTCAAAAACACACACACAAAAACACACACACACACACACACACACACACACACACACACACACACACACACACACACACACACACACACACACACACACACACACACACACACACACACACACACACACACACACACACACAACACACACACACACACACACACACACACACACACAACACACACACACACACACACACACACACACACACACACACAAACACACACACACACACACACACACACACACACACACACACACACACACACACACACACACACACACACACACACACACACACACACACACACACACACACACACACACACACACACACACACACACACACACACACACACGCACGCACGCACGCACGCACGCACGCACGCACGCACGCACGCACGCACGCACGCACGCACGCACGCACGCACGCACGCACGCACGCACGCACGCACGCACGCACGCACGCACGCACGCACGCACGCACGCACACACGCACGCAGGCAGGCAGGCAGGCAGGCACGCAGGCACGCAGGCACGCAGGCACGCAGGCACGCAGGAACGCAGGCACGCAGGCACGCAGGCACGCAGGCACGCAGGCACGCACGCACGCACACACGCACACCCGCACACACGCGCACCCGCGCGCACGCGCGCACGCGCACACGCGCACATGCGCACACGCACACGCGCACACGCGCACGCGCACGCGCGCAGGCGCACGCGCACGCGCACGCGCACACGCGCACGCGCGCACGCGCGCACGCGCACGCGCACACGCGCACACGCACGCCGCACACGCACACGCGCTCACGCACACGCACACACACGCACACGCGCACACGCACACGCGCACACGCAAACGCACACGCACCCGCGCCCGCAAACCCACCCGCACCCGCACGCGCACGTGCACGCGCACGCGCACGCGCACGCGCACAGCGCACACGCACGCGTACGCGCACACGCACGCGTACGCGCACACGCGCACACGCACACACGCACACACGCACACACGCACACACATGCACATCCTGAGTTGGTGGGGCAAAGAAAGTCCAAACTTTTTGTTTACCACTAAAATGGTTTTCCCGAAAATTTAAAGTCAAGGAACTCGGGAAGTGAACAAATATGCGCACACACAGACACACCGATGCTCGTCGAAGGTGAAAACCAACTCTCTCTCTCTCTCTCTTCTGGGCCCAGGCCATTTTCCGTATGGCCTCGTCGTCCTTAGTTCGAGGGTCTGGACCCCCATCCCCGAGGCTTCTCCAGGGGACCCCCCCCTCACACAAAGGCTCAACGCACTGAGTACTCTTTCTCCTTTAGCGCTGTTTCACAAGCAATCTGGGCCTCTGGGACTGGAAATGGAACCCTGTTGTTTCCCCTCTGGTCCAAAAACAGCTGGGATCCCCAAGAAATTAAACACGGGACCGGATCAGGCCGACCCAGAACCAGCTGGGGGGGGAACCGCCCGAAAAAAGAGAAAACAAACTGAGAAGGCACGATACCCCGGGGAGAAGCCGATGTGCCTTTTTACTTTTTACTGTAAGGTACCTCATTGTTGGCCATAGGCTTTTCCCAAGTGGACAGTGCCTTCTCAACTTTTTATATGTATAGAAAAATAAAAATAAAATGAGCGAGCACGCAGAGGTTGGGGGAGCACGAAGGCCCGCAAAACCCGGAGAAGACCCGCAAAATGTGGAGAAGGCCCGGAACAAAATCCGAGTCTGTTTTGTTTGGCGATGTGCGACGTGCAAATCCGCATCCATGGCTGCGTTTGATGCTTGTGCTGCTGCTGATGCTGGTGATGCCTCTGATGCTGGTGATGCCTCTGAACTGGTGATGCCTAAAAGTATCTAGCCAGAGCCAAAACTGACAAACAGACGTGCCAACCCTTGAGAAGGCACGCTTATCTGGGGGAACCCACAAAATCCAGAGGACGCGTGTCCAGACTTCCGATTAGTGCAGAAATGGGTGGCTCGTCTTTTTTTAGGATTCGGTCCCCTCAAAATCTTGCCCTGAAAGTCAAACCACCATTAAAACAATGGGGGTTCATATAATAACAACCGTTCTTTACCTGAGGATTGTGATCATCCAATGTGGGTCAATCATTTTTCTGGGGGTTGAATCCTAGGGGTTGGTTTTCCTTTGAGTTCCCTTAAAAAAAAAAAAGAGGGAAGGTGCCTGCGAAATAGTGGATGTCCTTTGGTTTCCTGCCGCCCAAAAAAGGGGCAGCCGGCCACACTCACAGGCGGAGCACGAAGGGAATATTCCAAGAGGCGCCCGAAACCCTCAGTTCCCATCGAGCGAGAAAAAAAAAACGTCCGAAGACAAGTTCTTTGCCACTCCATTTGCTGGTGGAGCCTATGTTTGGTGGCTTCAAGGAAACCAACGGACAAAATCACCGTTTTGGGGGGGCACCATGCCTCCATGTGCGAGTGTGTCCCCTCCAGTAGCGACAGATTCCCCTTAAAACCAACAGGGGAAAATTCAACATATTCTTAACCCAATGGAAGCCGCTAATGGTCCTCCACATCTCTCTTCAAATTCATAGCCATACCCTGGGGTTCAAACCACCAGTAAAACAATGCTTGGCTTCACATGACCACCATTATTTACCTAATAGGACTCTCATCTACATTGGGTCCCAGGGCCATTCTTCTAATGGGGGGAAGGAACGCTAGGCCATATCCGGGCAAATTACCCTTCGCAAACTGGACATACCCCTTCTCCAGAATGGAGAGCTCCTGTTGCCTCCAGAGCCGCAAGCAAACCACGAAATGGTCACTAGAAACCGGAAAAACAAAAACATGACATGCGTGCCTCAAACAAATAAAGACTAACTAAGCTGGTTTGCCGTGACTAAGATATCTTGACACATGGGAACGTTTTCACGGCTCGACAACAGAAGTCTCCTAGGTCAAATGTTTATTCATCATTGGCCAATGGCCATTTGATCGAAAGTTATTGTTATGGGAAATGCCATCTTCGCGCAAATCAACTTTCGCGAGGTCCATGGCGGAGCTTTCGCGGGGCAACACGTAAGACCCGATGGCCTTCCCCTTCATATGGGAGTGCCTTTGTTTGGGACCCCCCCCCAAAAAAAAAGAAAAAAACGCAGACTTCGGTGTTCCTTTGGTTTCCTTTGTAAACCACTAAACCTGGGGTATCAACTTAAGAAAGAGGAGCCACCCATATCTCAATACGACCTTTTGGACGAGCGGCACAAGGGTAGAAGTTTGGTCGGTAAGGGGAAAGGGCGGTGAACTCCCCCCGCACTCCAAAGATCTAGTCGGGACCTAGAAAATGAACAATTGAGCTGGCAGCTTATAAGCTAAATTACTCATGAACTTCTAGGTGTCACCCCCCTAGGTCCTCCAGTAGAGAGGTTAGACTAAGGGTACCAACTTTTTGCTGTAGTCTATTTTAGTAGGGGGACCCTCCCCAAAAAAAGGGTAAAAGGGCACTAGTGGCAGACCTAGCCCCCCTGAGACCAACATCTTAAGAGGATCCTAAAGGATCGAGCGGAAGTACTGACTCATCTCTTTGGTCCCACGTCTCCCGTCCGCCCTGAAGACTTAACATCTCAACTTGGTTGCTTGGTTGCTGACCCCCCTGCAACAAAGTGTCGACTGTTTTGGGGGCGTGGAAAACGCCTTGATTTTCCAAAAACAAATCAAGTCGATAGATCCAACCCAGCAGTCAAGTCATCTCCAATCCGAAGCTCAAAACGCCGACCATGTCGGCTAAACCCGATGCGCGGTGCTCCGTTTCGCCGGGGCACGCTTTTGTCTGTGAGGTTCCGGAGGTTCGGATTCTTCTTGATGGCCTGATTCGAGCGGGAAGACCTGGGGAAAACCGCAAGGGGCTCCGGGGGTTGCCTCGGGTTGCTGGGGTTCCCCTGAAAAAAAAACAATGAAAAGATATGTGCAGTGGTGATAGATTCCCTTCAAAACCCCAAACAATAAAACTAGCAGATTTGTTTAATCAAATGGAAGCGGATGAGTTTCAGGGAAACCTAGGGCCCCAAGAAGCGGTTGCGTGCTTCCATCACGGCAACCAGGTATGTCTGCCTCTAGGCTTCACTTGTTTCTGCTTACCTATGGTATCCTATGCTACAAACTGGGCCGAGAGTCGAGGGGCTCCAAAGCGGGTCACAAAAGTGCACAGGCCAGTCGAAACCCCGACATGCAGCGAGTTTGAGCTTAAAGGGACCGTTTGGTGGACAGACATACAAGTGGGTCTTAGAATAGCCCTTTCCCCCTTTAAATCCAACCCAAAATAGGTGCCCCTAAAAGGAGACATAGTACTCTTATACGGGTTGGATTTATGCAGCTCAGTGTTGGTGTTCCAACCGTGTAACCAGCACGGGCTTTTTCAGGTTCCAAGTTGCAATCCGCGCAACAACATGTGCTTCCGACGTGTCTTTTTTAAAGGCGGGTTTAGAGGCAACAAAAAAAACCATTTGGGGCTCCCTAGGGTCCCGGGTGAGTTTGCAAGGAAAGCTCTCCTCAGAACGTCCAAGTACCTCACATTGTAATTGACAGGCACCTTAATTCTGCCAAAGCAAAAACAGCAAAAACGTAGTAAGTCACTACCTGGACCCTCTGCGCTATTTGGAGAGCCCAAAAGTATGTCTCACGCACTCACAGCCTAGCACGCTGCCCAACTGGCCGCTGGCCATTCCTTGCCTTCACGATAAAGTCGATCTCGCTACTGGCCAAGCCTCCGAGGAACGGTCAATTGGCGCAGCCTCCCTTTGCATTGTTCTAGGGGTAACTTCCCCACTCTTTCCAGGGATCCTTCTTTCTAGAAAACAACCAAACACCCTGGGGAAATGGCTGGTTCTTTAAAAGGTGGTGGCTGAAAAGAATGGGGAATCAACCCCTAGAATTGTTTATTCATGATTTTGGGTAGACAGTTTTGAGAGGCCGGTGAGAATTTGGCACAGACCACCTGCCCCGAGGAGCAGACCCATTCGGCTTGGGATAAAAACGGAACACTCTTTTTGGCTTGGGGGTTGGGGGTGGGGGGTTGGGGATTCGTGGGGGGTGGGGGATTGGGGGATTGGGGGTTGGGGGTTGGGCAGGGAGCCGCCATTTGGTTGATGTTGAAAGGGAAGCAACACTGGAATCCCATGACCAGCCAACCAACCAACAAACCGACCGACCAACCAACCAACCACCCGACCAACCAACCAACCGACCGACCAACCAACCAACAAACCGACCGACCAACCAACCGACCGACCGACCAACCAACAAACCTACCGACCAACCAACCGACCGACCGACCAACCAACCGACATACAGACCAACCAACCAACCAACGACCGACCGACCAACCAACCAACCGACCAACTTGGGGGGTCCCAGAAAAGAAAGAGGGACGAGTTCGTGGAAGAAAATCCCAAAGCCCGAGCCATGCCCAAAAGAGGTCGGCTGTTGGGCCAATGCCCAAGTTAGGACTCTCCGTGTCAGTGAGACTACACAGAGAATCCAAAACATCCGAATGCATCTGGGCAAATGACTATAAAATCAAAAACTGCAGATCAGGAATCCACAAAGCGACCTTCATCATGGGCCCAGTTGACTCGTTCTACCCCAAATTGAGGGGTGGAATTCCCTGAGAATCCGAATGCATTGTGTCCATCAAACAAAGCACACCAGGTCTCAAGCTGCCCAGCGACACGCCCCGCCCAAAATCAAGCGCACAAAAAGTTTGCTCCAAATTTTGACCCGATCGTAACAAGAGTAGAAGCATTGTCCCTACAAAACAAAAAGAAGCAAAGGAAACCCAACCAAACTTCTACCGTGCAGAAATGCATTTGGGTTCAAACTCATCTTTCGGGCCCAGCATTGACTAGTTGCGGCTTGAGAGGAGTCGCGTTCCTGACTCGAAACTGGAAAACCTCTCTGAAGGAGCGTAGGAGTATCCCCCCCTAGCCTTTGTCCGGGTTTTGAGCAAGTGGCTGCATGGCGCTTCCCTCACGGCTTGCCCAATCACCCAGTGACGGTGAGAAACCCACCTGCCACACCCCTGAGCCGCACCCAAGACTCAGCCTGATTTTAAAGAACTTAGTGGTTGTGTATAACATTTATTGCTAATTTAACTTCATTTACTTTATTAATAACATATTAAAACTATCTAATCTATAAACATCTGTTTTATGCCTGGCTAATCCAAAATTCAACAAGTAGCAGAACCCCCTTCAACAAACATGTCCAACGAGAGTTTGAGCGCGTTCGGCTTTGGTCTCCCATTTCGCCGTTGCCTCCAGACATCTCCTCGGATTCCTGCGAGAAAAACACCCCGAGATCAAATGACTCGCCTGTTCTTGGACCGGGGACAAAAGCTTTACCTCTTGGGACCACAAAACCATGGACCAACATCCAAAAATGGACCACCCCGCAAAACCTTCCTTGGGGAGTTTTGAATGGACCTGAGGTTGTGGGCCACCCTTCTGCGATACCAAAGCTGACCATCCTGACTACTTGATCACTTTTGGTATTACAGAAGCTGTCGCTAAACCCCATTTCTTACAACCATGCTTTGGTATCTTAGCTCAACATGAGCCAACAATGGAAATCCTAAAGCTGGAAAAAATAGTTTCGCTTCGGATTCGAAAGGGAAGGGAGAACCGATTCCTGTTCTGCGGGATGCCAAATCCAATTTTTAAACACGCCCAGTATACCTCAGCTCTTGCCCCCAGCTACAAACAAAGATCCGATTTTGGCAAAACACATAGTGAATAGCTTAAAATTCAAAATCGTAGGTGGTATTTGGTGTTTGTCCATGACGCACATCCCCAGCATTTGCTGAGGCCCTGAAAGAATACAAATCTGGGCCAGTGTTCCACAAAATACAAACATATCACCCTTGCCTGCAAACTTCGAGGCTCCGAACCCGCTAGGAAGCGGGTGGTTCTCATCCTTGGGGTGTGGCTCCGCCTGTTTTGTTTGGTGTCAACAGGAAACCAAACGAAACAATGCGAATCCATGTTGGGGCACTATGAAAAAAAATGGGGCACCCTAGAAAAGATATTCTTCGGGTAGCCGAAAAAGCACACACCCAGATTCCTTCATTGCTCACAATCCCCGCTCACGCGCTTGGCGCCTCCAGCCGAATACCGCCCAAGCGCCTCGCACGGGGCACGTGGGGTTTTCAAGGGCCCAACAAGCGACAGAACACTTCCCGCAAATGGGCGTCGATTTTGTTTAACGTTAGCCTTCTTTGGGTTGGGTTGAAAAGAAATAAAGGGAGTTTAAAGATAGACAACCAGTCTGGGGGTCCGATTCCTAAAAACAAGCACACCCAACTGTGGCCCAACGCAAAATCACCAGACACTGATTTTGAGCACCCCTCCTTTTCCCCAAAAGCCCGCATACTGCCCCTTGAGGGCTGCTAGCCAATCTTGACAGAACCACATCGCTCGGAATGCGACTGAACAACCCCCTTGTGGAAGATAAGGGTAGAGTTGGGTGATTTGGTAGATGGCACGATTCCAACCCGTTTGGGCTTGGTCATTCCCTTTATTCGCCCAGATCAAGGAATTGGTGCCAACTTTCACCCTTTCGTCCGTTTCTGGGGGTCAGAACGTGAAAACCCGAGTTTAGGAGCTGGCTCAAAATCAGCTGGATGCCTCCAAGTGGCGTTTTGTTGCGTGGCGTCCAATTCAACAGACCAAAAGGGGTTTCCAGGTATGGCTGCACCGCGCCGAGCTTTGAGGCTGGCCACACGGGTGGTCCCGCCCCCTGGCAGAGTTAAAAAAAGGCCTGTCGGTGATACCAAAGTGGACTATCCGTATCTGGCCTCAGATCCCCAGCTACATGTTTAACTTGTGGGTTAAATGGAAACTACCACTAAACACTAAAAAGCTAAGAGGCTAAGGAACCGGTAGGCTGGCTTCGCCACCACTTTGTGACTTTCAAGCTGGGCAGGCGGCTTTGGCTACAGAATCTGTAAGGCCTGGCTAGTGGCTTCAGCCCCCCCTTCCAATAGCTCCCCCCAAGTCTGGACACACAATACCTCCATTTGCTTGAGGCCAAAATGGAAAAAGTAGATGTCCCGAAAGTGATAAACCCGTCAGCTTTCACCTTTGGAGAGAACATATGTCGCATGACGTGCCGAAATATCACCTCCATTCCTTTTTCCTGAAGCCGCCTGGAACAAAATGAGAAGAGATGTGCCCAGTGGTGAAATCGCTTCCTTTCAAAACCAACAAGGAAAATACCATTCCTCACTTCCTGAGTAGATGGCCCAAAAAAACGTCCCAACATTTCATCTACCGAAATGGTCTTGGCGCAAAGCATAAAGTCCAGGAAGTCGGGAAGTGAGATTCATCTCAGCAAACGGGTCAAAACCCAGTACCCCGAGTGAACATCAACCAATCCAACCACTAAAATAGGCTCTAAAATGGGTGGTGATTTCACCTACCACAAAATGGGATCCCATTGGCTTTGACAACCACAGCCATTTCAGCAAATGGAAGAACACTTCTCCGAACGTCCAGCCCTTCCCCCGGTGCTCGCTCCCAGCGTCCGCCTGGGCTCGGCGATAATCTCCTCCATGCGCCGCCCCTCGTAGATCGCCGGGCGCCTGAAGCTCCGCACACGCATCGTTCTACACAGAGTCATAATCAATACCTGGTGATTTCCTTCCAAAACCAACAGAGGGAAAATAGTAAGAAAAAATAATAATAATAAACACAAATATATATATATATATATATATATATATATGTTTTTGCATTTCCCTCCAATTCGTTCTTCATCCCTCAAAGGCCGCCAGGCTTCCACCAGAGTCGCAAAAGGACCCCAAAGGGCCCCATCACAAAAGGCAAGGAAACACCCAAAAACAAGAACTCCCATTTACTTAAGTCCACTGGAAAAAGTGAGAACATCTTCAGTGAAATCGGCTCCCTTTTAACAACCAACAGGGGGCCCCGGGGGAAATAGACAAATATTCATGTCGGCAAATGGAAGACATCCCTCAATTGGCGCCCAGGAAGTCGACTTGGCCCCATTTCACCCACCGAAAAACGGAGGCTCACAAGGGCCAAAGCAGGAAGCTTTTCCGCTAACGCGGGTTAACCAGCCTCGGAACACCTCCTCAAACCACCGGTGCGGTCCCAAGCCGCCGCCCTTGACCTCGAACCAATGCGCAAGGCACAGTTTTGTTCATCCCAGCGCAAAGTTGCTAATTGTACATATGGCACACAGATCCAGGAAACGTTGACGCATCCCGGCAATCCCCTCCCCATGCGGCTTGCCGTGCAAGCGCAGGGATTGTCTCCGAAGCCCCCCGTTCAGGATTTCCCCCCTGGCTGGAGTGGCTTTGGGCATAAGCTTCAGGCACCCAAAAGCGCCCTCCTGGCCGGATGGATCAAGCCATTGGATTCCTCCAACGCCTTCAGCGCCGCCGTCTGGCTTTTGCCGCTGGCCTTGATGTCATCGCGTGCCACCAGTTTCATCAGCTGGTCCTTGAGGCCGACCTTCTCTGCCTTGGCAGCAACGGTGGCCTGAAGGTCGACTTCCGGTGCGCTGGTAGCCCTCGGCTTCCCCTTTGCCTTAGGCTTCACTGCCTTTGCCTTCGACTTTTCCTTTGTCTGCTTGGCCTTTGCTTCCTCCTTCTCCTTCTTGGCACTCTCTTTGGCTTCCTTGGCGGCCTCCTTTGCGGCCTCCTTCTGCTCCTTGGACATCCTAGCCTTCTTCGCAGGCGGCTCCTCACCTTCTGCACTGGGCAGGGGAACATAGGACTTCATGGCCTCCTCGTAGGCTGCCTTCTTGGTCTGGTACTCCTCCTCGAACACCTTCTTCTCTTCCTCGCTCAGTACCTTCCACTTCTCAGAAGCCAGCTTCGTGACGGCCGTCACGGGCTGGCCCTTGCACTGATCCGCGAAGGCTGAGCGGTTCCTTAGCTCCATCGCAGTGAATATCTAGCCAAACTAGAAGGGTGGCAACACAGCATTTGCGGTCTCTCGCTCTGTCGTGCGCTGCGCGCATCTCTCCGTCGTTTGGCGTGCAGAAGATTCAAGCCGGGGACAGCCCAACACCTCCTGGCACATGCCCAGCCCCCCCTTGAGACTTTTCAGTCCAAGGCTCTTGGCCAGGAAGCATCCGTACGCTCCACCCGCAGGCTTCTTGGGTGCCGCAGGATCCTCCGAGAGATAGGATGCGTGCAAACCACTCTTGCTAGGACGTGTCCAGGCAACTGTTTGGGTGGGATCTTTCAGGGATCAATTTGTGACACTCAGAAGGGAAACCCAACTGTCACCCCAACATAAGGTTCAGTTCCCCATGTTCCCACAAAGGTGGCTCTACCCATCACCATTATAACATGCTTGGTGAATAATTATGGGGCACTGGGGCACTGTGACACCGACAGCCAGCTTCCAGCATGCGATCATGTGCTTCCCGGCGAGTGCAGTCCTTCTTCCGCTTCAGCTTCTCTGCACCCTTTGAGCCCTTCGTCTTTCGCGCCTTCTTCTCGCCACCTCCCAACAGAAATATGTTGGCCGCCACACTGGCGTAGTCTGATTTTTCGAAAGCAGCCAGAAGTCCCAGAATCAAAACGCCGCCATCAAAGTATGTTGGATCTCGTTAAAAGGCGGGCTGTCCAACATATGGTTCCCCTTGGACCCTTCAAAGGAGATACCAAAAAGGGGCCCCCAAGCTTGACCCCCAAATGGATGATGGAAAGGTGAGGGCGTGGCATGCGGCACACGCCTGCTTCAAGAAAGGCCTTCATATCCTCTTCGAACTTGGCCTTCGCCTCCTCGTACTTCTTCTGGTAAACTGCCCTCTCCTGCGCATATCATGAAGAATGCGCGCTCCGACGAGGCTGGTGGTGTGATTCGATATCATCACAATGCAAAAACCTGTCAGCGAACCAAGCAAAGTTCGTAGTCACAGGGCACCAAAGTTCGTAAAAGTCACACGGCACCAGAGCCAGTCGGATCCACTCGGACTCTCAAAAGCCATCCAGCGCAAGCTCCGCTCCTCCTCGCCGAGTGCCTTGAAGCGCTCGCTGGCCAGCTTGGTGACGGCAGTGATGGGTTGTCCCTGGGTCTCCTTCATCAGCTCTGGGCGCTTCTCCGCCAAGAACCTCAGCTAGGCATTCTGCACGAGTCTGGTCTAAGTCGAAGGGGCAACATGCGACAGCAAAGCTTGCTCCAAACTATTCAGCCAAAAGGGATGGAGCATATTTCCAAGAAACCCCTGCACCATGCAAATCACAAAGGCCCGAGCTTGGACACACAGTGCTAATAATGACTGCTGCCATCGCAAGGCTGGGGCAATGTCAGGACGGAACGGCCTACAGTTCCCTGAGCGCGAGTCTGCTGTCTAGTCAAAATCGGAGGGGGGTAACACTATAATTAGAGCTTACTCCAGCACAAAACCACTCAACCCCTCCAAAACACGAAGGCATTTGCTTGGAAGTTTCCCGAGCTGAGAATACAACTTCTGCGAAACCGAGAGTGACAAGTTCTCACATCGCAAAGCTTTGGGCAACGTCGCAGTGGCATGGCCGTGTGAGTTCCCTGAGCTAATCTTGCGGCCGGGAGCTGTCCGAAGGCGCCGCCGGCCGGCTTCTTTGGCTGCTCGGCCATGGTGAGGGAAGGGATCGAAAGCACGGGATGCGCACTGGAGGCTGGCGGCGCTCAAAAGCCAGGGGGCAAGTGGGCATACAATCGCCTCTTTCCATGATTTCTGAGCTCAGCCTCCTGAAAGAAGCTGAGTTGGATCCCCCCAGCTGGGCTCCCTTCCAACCGCCCAGGGCTTGCAGCTCAGAACATGAATCTTGCTGGCCAACTCGTGAGATCATGAACCCCATTCATGGGCTAGGTCCTCCAGTAGAGAGGTTAGAATAAGGGTATCCCTTTTTTGTACTCTAGTTTACTAGGGAACCCTCCCCCCTTCAAAAAGGGTACAAGGGCACTACTGGGGGACCTAGTGAGTGAGCTCGAACATAATTTGCCTAGACCTGTTAGCTGGTTCCAACCAGGAGCAACAATACACCAAACAAACGGCGGTAACACATCAAATCAAGAACAGAGTTATTATGAAAACCAAGCAATTAGAAGTAAGCATCACACCAAAAGAGGGACCTGCACAGGGTACGCTCGGGCGGATGAGCTTGTTTTCTAGCTTGTGACGAGCTTGTTCTCCAGCTCAAAAAGCACTGCAACTGTCACCCCTCCCAAGCTTCCCTCCACAATGCTGGTAAGATGCCCCTGTTTTTGTTGCCTTCCAGCCGCAACCCCACAAAGCGACCCAATTCGAGAGGTCAGCATCTCACTCCTGCATCCCCCCCCCCATGTGGTGTCAACAGCCAGCGTCCAAATCCCACCACCAATTGAAGCCACCATTTCTACTTCTGTTCCTGTTCCTCCTCCTAACAAACACGATCATGCTGATTCTGGGCAATATGCGTGTTTCTCAAACATGGAGGCCCCGCTGTAGTCCTTGGAGGGTTGATATCAACCAACAACTCCATATTTCGTAGCTCGTGGGGGCTGATCAAAAGGTCCTTTACATGGGATGACCGTTGGGGAAGACTACAAGATTATATTTCCAGTGAATGGGAAAAGTTACACTTTTGGGGGCCCCAAATGGAATATTGATTCAACTCCCAAATCATGTGCACAGAGATCCCAGAATGCCGGGCCAAACTTCCACCAGGCCAAAAAGTTGACTTGTTTGCTGGCCGAATGGAAAAATCCTGGGGTTCAAACCACAAGACATGGAGGGTTCATAATAACCACCATTCTGTACCTAAGGATTGTCATCCTCCAACTTGGGTCACCCTGTCTTTTAATTGGGGCAACGAATTCTAGTGAAAACCTGAAGGACGCCTTGGGCTAAAGGAAGTTCAAAAGGGGACTGGCACCCACCCCTCAACTTTTGCCCTCCAAACTCCGTGTCCACCGCGCACCCCGTTGACCGCGCACCAGGGACCTGGTGCGAACCCAAGCCGCGGGCCTCGCGAACTTCAGCTTCTCGTGAAAGCCCAGCTTCTGGAAATCCTGACGTCACGTTTACGTTTGGGTCGACTGGAAACCGCTCACCGACATAGCGACCGGAGGGAAAAGCCAAGGGAAACTCACCTATATTGCCCAAAACAAAAACAAAAACAAAAAAGCCCAAGGGAGGTGGTAAATAATCCCACACACTCCATGTTGGTCATATTTACTAGCATTCAAATGTAGGCCTCTCAGAGCACATTCGGTATGTAGGAATATGTTGGCAACATTGGGCTTATCGGAATCTATGACTTTGTCGGATGCCGTGATTGGGCGTGATTAGGCGTGACTTGGCGTGATTGTCGGACTGAATGTATGCCATTTTTGACATACATTTGGGCCAGTATGCCAAATTTGGGGTACATTCGTGTATACTACCGTGATTTGGCGTGATTTGTTGGCAGGAGAATTGTCGAACATTGGCCTTATAAACCCCAATGTTCCTTCTCAGGCCAACGTTCGCGAATGTCGGCAAATAGCAGCAACATTGGAGTGTCTGGGAACTAAAAAAAAGGAAAAAAACGCCAAGGGGAAAAACCGCCATGGGAAGCTCACAAAAAAAAAAAGGAAAATGGGGACAAAGCAGCCCCCTCTTGTAAGAGAAGCCCCTTATAGGGGAAACAAATGGAACCGAGGGCAAGTCACCCAAACCAAAATGAGAGACAACCAAGCCCAGGTGATGTCCCAGGAGCCCGCTTCATGGGCTCTCTGTCGACTTGAGCTGGATTCACTTGACCAAAAGTCTGCCAAAGCTCCCTGGACGAAGAGGGTGGGTCTTCCCCTTGGCTTCCCTTTAAAACCAAAAGAGGGCTCCAACCCCAAAAACAAACATGAGCCACCCGTCTGCTGCAAACCATGTCCAATTCCTGAGTCGGGTTCCACACTCAACTTTTGGGTACGCAACTGTGTTGCGGACAAAACTAAACGACTCCCTTGCATGCGTATACAGACAGCATTAGGCTGAGAAAATATAACTCGAGACAGTGGAGTTCTAGATATGTTGATGTGATGCGTTTTGGGCTCTAAATACAGGGTTGCCCAATGCTAGTCCTGAATCCCTGGAAAAAAAGGGGGAACTCTTATGCAAGGGCAGGCACTGAGTCGCCCAAGCAATGGTCAAAACTGCTTGCTGCCCGAGCGCAATTTGTCCTTTCAATATTAGCAATGGAAAGGCATTAAGTATCATGTGCGTCTTCAACAATTTCCCTCCAAGTTCTCTTTCTCACATTCAAATAATGCATTAAAAGCGTGTGGATGGCTGACTCCTTTACATATAGAGGACAAATAAGAACTATTCTCAGTTCCCCATTTTTGGTGGGACATTTAGCGAGTGCCCCACCCTCACAACCGGACGATCGCCGGTTTTTCCTTTTCAGCTCCCGTCTCTTCTGACGCGCCTCCCGGGAGAGCGTGAGCAGCTCCAGCGGCGAGCAACCTTTCCTCGGACGGAGCTGCCATGACCCTCGAGGCTTTGGACAAATCGATACCCTGGGCTTCAGTTGCCAGTGCAACAAGAAAAAGTTGGGTGAATTTGTTTTACCACCATTGCTGGCCGTTCAGGCTTGTCATCATCCAAGTTGGGTCAACCTTTCTTTTAATGGTGCTTGAACCCAACATACCCAAACCATGTAAATAATCAAAACACCGGGTTTTCCGAACCTATCTGGTGTGAAGTTTAATTGTAGGAACCAGGACTGGCCATCATATACATGGTGATTGATGTCCAACCAGAAATGGAGGGGTTCTCTATTGGAACTCAGCCAAATGGCACTGCTAGATGAATATAATAGAACCAAGTTCAAAGCAGTACCATCTATTTGAGCCAAGCTGACTTAAACAGGCCACCCGCAATGAACATGGTCTAAAGACAACAGGGTTGCATCACCCAACCCTGTGTTCAGTGCCAATGTATCCAGTCATTGTCCATTTGGTTTTTAAAGGGTGGTGTTTTCCTGGTTACCTACTATACAGGTAAATGGATCCACTGGGATCAAGAGAGCCGCAAGACTGTACAGTGCCAATGAAGTATGCTTAACTGGCCAACCGAAGGAGGCGAATGGACAGTTCGAGCCGACCCTCGGGCGGTTTTACTGAGATGGGAGGACACACCCCAGAGTGGAGGGCATAGTTTTTGCATGGGGACGATCCTTGTGTTTAGCTATGAATGTGTCCAAACTTGGGGAACCCTGGTTTCAATACTAAAAACATACTAAAGAAACATAGCATGTGCAATTCAAAGAATGAAAGGTAGTGCCCAATGTTCCTTTAGGAACGGCTCGGAGCGACCCTGAGTCTTGGCCAAGATTAGAGCCTCTGCAGGAAGTTGACTTTTGCCGCTTGCAAAAGAAGCAAATGGAGCCCAGAAGAGCAAAAGGATCGAAAGGGTTTAAGTTGGTGGCAAGGGTTGGGTGACCCATGGTGACCCTAAATAGGTTGGATCGCAAATGGGTTGTAGGATGCTAAACTCATGATTGTACTTGCCGTACAAAAAAGAACCTGTCGAGACTGTTGAGAGTCCCCTTGGAACAAGGAAGTCCGAAATGGGCAACCTTGCCCGCTAACTTCCACCGAGCCGCGCGACGATCGTGGCGACGTTCGGCCGCTTCTCGGTCAGCCTTGGGTTTTGTTGCGGGCTCCATAGACACCATGTTCATTTACATTCAGAGCCATAGCAACACAAACCATTTTGACAGGGGTCACTGGATTTCCAAATCGAAAGTTGATCAATTTGATGGTGGTGTCCATTGAAGCTCTCACAAGGGAAGTTGGAAAAACTCTGAGCTAGTGACTATCAGAAGGACCATTTAAGGCTGTATCCCTCCTCTGAATCAGTGGCCATTTCGCACCCAAACGAACGGGTATGTGTTTTCTTCGAAGTTCAGTACCCTTTGCAGGTTGGTTCAAAGGAAACCAAAAGGAAAGCCACCAGTTAAAGGGTCTGGAGCCAGGGCTCGCTCCAGGGCTGCTTTGTTGGATTCTCGGCCGCGAAAGGCTGCGGCCCTTGAAGCCATCCAAACACCAGTCTAGGTCCTCCAGAGAGGTTAGAATACGGGTACCCGAGTTTTATTTTCTTTTGCAGTCTATTTTAGTAGAGGAACCATCCCCCCAAAAAGGGTAAAAGGATGTAAAAGGGCACTACTGGGGGGAGCTAGCCAGCCTTGGAAGCCTTCTTCCCGGCCGGGGAGGCACCAAACAAAACAGCGGGCCTTGAGGAACGAGAAAAGGTGTGAATTCAACGAAAGAATCCGAATGGAACCGTTGCTTGTCTTGTCTGAAATCACCAGTTGCTCACTCACCTGCTTGGTGGAGTCCAAAATGAGGAAATCCCGCATAAAAAAATGCTATTGTGATTTCAGAAAAAAAGAGAGGTTCCTGCACCTTTTTTGCCACCATTTCTTCCGGCGTCTCTTTGGTTTCTCAGGGCGGAGCGTGCGGCCGCCGAAGTAGTCGTAGTTGTACAAGGTGGCGCATTCGTACCTAGACACGTGCTCCTACCGTCGTGGGGGTACCCGGGTGGACACTTGGGACAAGTTATGGACAAAAAGCAGCCGAAGGGGGTGGCCAACAAGCGGCCGATGGGGGGGGGTCATGTTTTCATGTTTTCCTTAGTCCTACTGTGGATGGACGAAATCCGTTCGCACCACGAAATAGAACCATGGTTGAAACCATGGTTTGTGTGCGTGTGTTTACAGATCATCAGAAACCAGGGCTTCTTAGATGGTACAGGATTTTGTCAATCCACAGTACCTTTGGGTTCCCTTTGCACTAGGGTGAAACCTCTTGGTTGCTCCATTTAACCCGTCTGGTCCTAAAACCGGACCCCTAAACTACCATGTCCCTAACCATAACTCCGATCGGTAGCTCCGAAAGGCCCCCTTGAAAGGACAAATTGGATACCCCTGACTCCTTGACTCCCTTCCAAGCTAGGGTCGTCGTGTTTGTCAACACCTAAAATACGATTGACCCAGTTACTTGCCTCTCTGACAACCAGAACGGCTTGGAAACCCTGGCTTACGGCTTAAGAGACTCGTCACGTCGGCCCCTTGGCAGCGAAAATGCTGAACCTTCAGAAATGGGGGAAAGGGGAGTGTAACAAACATGAGCGTGGTTTGCACCATTTTGGTGGTCCCTCAAAATGACCCCCCACCCATTTCCCTGGTGCTGATTGCCTGGCACCAGTTTGTCTGAAGGAATCGATCTGCAAATGGGTGTGCTTTTAGGGACCCCCCCACAGAATAAGTGGTTATAAAAAGGGTTTCTCTCAAAAGAAGACACGCCCAAATTTCCCTCAGAGTGCGATTGACAGCATCCTCTCTGGGCTGCCAACTCATAGCCATTCTCATCCTCTTTGATGACCTCAGGAAACACTTGAGATCGATGCACTGGCTAACGTGGATCCCCTGAATACTGGCTTCGGTTTCCCTTTTGCCTTCACTTTAACACCACCAAAACAAGGTACCCCCCGAAGAAAAAGAGCAAACTTCACTTTAAAGCCACCCAAAAGAGGTACCGCCCCAAAAAAGAGACGAGCCACCCAAGCATTCGCTTGCTTTTTTTGGAGGCTCTCTGACTGCAAGGTTCTGAACCTCGGAGCCGCGCGGAGGCTTCACCGGACTGGCGGGATCGCTCGTCGCTCGGGTGAGATATCAACATGGGTCAACTGTGGATGGACCAAATCCAATCCTGCACCACGGCTCAGAAACTCTGGAGTGAGGATTCCTCAACAAACAATGGCTTCAACCATGGGTTAATTTTGTGGTGCGAACGGATTCCTTCCATACAACCCCAAACTGGCCATTGTTCTGCTGGTTGGTTGAACAAGGCCCCAAACAGGGTCCATTTGCCGATACGTCCCCAAGAAAACTGTAACATATTTCCAGTAGCGCCAGATTCGCTTTAAGACCAAGGGGACTTTAAAACACACACGCAAATTAAACAAATGGAAGGCACTCTCAAACACGGAACACGCTGTGGACCTCCAAGGCGAAAAAAACGGTCTCACCTGTGCTTCGGCCTCGTTCGCGGCTTTTTCACGTCTGGGTAGCTGGACATTTCCCTCAAATACCAGGGTCGCCCGATTTGTCAACCCAAAAGAGCACTCAGGTGTGTTTACATACGGTTCGCCTCCAATTAGTGATTTTCTTTTTGGTTTCCCCTTCAATCGAGCCTGGAAGGGTGTCAAAAAAAAAAACTGGACAAAGAAGTGGGATCACACAGTCTGTCCGAATTACAACTCACCTGCCGTGCTCACTTGTGCGTCCGAAACGAGGCAGAGATTCCAATAGGCGACAGGTGGATGGTACAGCAAACAATGCTCTAAACTGAGATCAGAATTGACCCCCCCAAAAAAAGAAGAAGAAGAAGAAACCCTCATGAATGGCCATGTTTCGCGCACCACCGGCTTCTGTGGGGTCGTGATTTCATTTGCCCAGACACAATGCGAATGCCACCTTTGTGGTCGAGTCACCAACTCAAGACCAGCTTAGGGCACAGTGTCGGGTCCGTGCAATTTGTGTGTATGTGTGAGCCACAGTTAACTTTTATTTGTGTGCCCGAATGACATTGGATGTTGGTGAGTATCCCCCAGGTAGTGGCAATTTGGCGAGTCCCAATGTCATTCCCTTGACACTAGGTGACAGTCAAGCAAGGGTGGTTTTCCTCTTGGTTACCCAGAAAAGACACAACCATATAAACCAGAAGAAATGGAACTAAGATACAGGCACCAACATTCTAAGATACCAGTGTTTGCCCATGATTTGAGGTTGGGGGGGGGCAGGGCATGCCAATCATTCCTCATCAACATGCCACTTCCACCCTCCCACCCTCCCACTTCCACCCACCCTCCCACTTCCAAGGTGTCCTTTCTTCATGTGCCACATGCCCTCCAACTGTCTCACTTCCCACTCCCCAAGGATGTCCCCCCCCCCACAGTTACATTTGCCTGCCCACATCCCAACCCTTCCCTGTGCCCACATCCCAACCCTTCCCTGTGCCCACCCCCTGCACTGTGGCTCGGACTACTTCATGGAATACTTGGAGCAGCAGTTCACAGGGAGGGAGGGAGGGTAAAAACATAGGCACCGCTGAAAAGCGGGTAGCGCTGAAAAGCGCACCTTTTTTTTGGGCACGTGGTAAAGATGACCAAGCAGGCCTGGCCAGACAGGGAGGATGGTCATGGGGCACTTTAGCCTGCACCAAGACTGCAATATTGAATGGCCTAGTGGTCCATACCCCTGCTTTGCTTTAGAACTGTAACAACTGAAAAGTACTTGCCAGCACAGAGGGCACAACCATTTGGAAAACACAGGACCTGCTAGTTCATCACCTGAGATGTCATTCGCATTGGGGCCACCTTTTTCAAACTTGCTGTTCAACATCATGAAGCTAAATAGTGATTGGTTCTCTTTGCAGCATTGAAGCACAAGATTACTTGCAGCAATAACTGAATCCCAAAGCTTCATGGTGAATTTTAATCTTAAATGCATCACATGGTTGTTTGAGCCCTGGATTTACAGGAAGGGATGTACAAGAACACTTTGCAAGCATGGGACATGTATAGTTGTCAGGGAGCAGGTGGGCAAAGTGTAGGCTGCAAGGTGTCTGGGTAGTGGCGTTCAGAAATTTCTGGTCCTAAGTTTCCATTTGACCATAGCACCAAAAGTCAAATTGAAATGAAGCTTCAGTCAGCTCTATGCTTTCACTTGCAGCCATGCTGCATTTGCACACTTGCCGTCAACCATAAAAGCAGCCGCAAAAAGGCAGGACACTAAGGCTCAAACCCTGCAATACTAAGGCTTAGTTCACTAAGGTCCCAGCAGAGCGGAGCCTGCTGCATACTAAGGTTCAGACACTGACTGAGGTCTGACTGAGGTCTGCACACAGCTTTCTAGGCAGTGCAAAGGCTGGCTGGGCAGAGGGCTGGGCTAACATGCCATTCCAAACAGCACTAAGTGAATGCAATGTACTGTTCTGGCCACTGCTGAATTTGGGTAGCCTCCAGTATTGCACAAGGCATTTTGAAACTGCCAACTGTTTCTCTGGAACTTTGCTAAGCCCTCAGGGCACTCATTGCTCCTCATGTCTTGGAGTGTCCCGCCCAAGAAATTCAATCAGCACCAAAGATGCAGGGACAACCCAGTGGATAATCAGGGAACACTCTGTGTGTGTGTGGTTGATGGCAGCTGTTTCCAACAAGAAAACGTTCAAGCCCACAGGTGAGATGTCTGACCTGCTTTTCTGCCACCCAGCCAAGGCTCAAATTCTGACAGTACCCATGGGCTGGTCCATAAACAATCTGTCATTGTGAAATGGCTGCAAAAACATATTCCAATGGAGCGTTGATGTCAACAACAAAATGCTGTTTGGCCTAGTGCTTCTGCAATCAGAAGCTTGAGCTCCCCTGACCTACCAAGCTATCCTTTACCCTTGCCCCTCCATGCCTTGGCTTTCCAAGGCATGGCTGCAACCCACCCTAGCCTCTTCATGAGGGGTTCCATCAGCCATGCTCAGGTTGCTTGCCTGTTGGTGCCTCAGACCATCCTCAGTGCACTGAACATGCTTTGTGAGCTAATCCTGAGTTGATGTAACTGTAAGTTGCTACCCAAACGGGCTTGGTGCAGGGAACCCTGACTCACTGCCTCTCACCCTGGCCGCTTTCTGGCTGAGGCCTGCTGCCCTTGGAGGTGTGCCAGGACATCCAACCTGCCTTGGGCCCAGACAAGCCAGCCGACAGCGCCTTGCATTCCAAGCGCCTTGATTTTGGGTGTATGTTATTGCAGGGGGTTCTATATGTCTTGACAAGGAACAATTGCTGGTAACAGTAAGGGGCTATCTTTTCATCAAAACTCATGTGCCATTGTGAATGCCGTCATCCTTTGGCAAGCTCTGTATCGTTAGCTCCCCCATGCAATCTTGCACTTCTCTTACAGCCTGATGCCTCTTGATTTTCTTGGATTTGCCAGCAAGATGTGGTTGCAGTTGTGGTTCAGGGCTGCTGCAAGCAAGTTGCTTGATCTCTGTGATGCAGCAGGTGTAGGCTCAAGGGCTGTTGGCTGTGGCAGCTTTTCAGCCATGTATGTGAACAACCTCTACATCATTCAGAACCAGAATGAGGTTGGCACAAGAAGGAAGCCACCCTGCCAGCTTGCCAGAGACGCCAGACTAAATTGGCAAGAACATGACAGTCATAAATGTGCGTGTGCCAAAGAGAGAATGCGCGTGTGTGTGGGGGCTAACTGAGGATCAAGTGCGAGCAGCCAGGAACCGGCTGGTGCTTTTCTCAGCTGCTGGCATTTGCCTATCTAGGAACTTCTTTGCTGAGGGCACAATTCTGAAGCCTTGTCCTGCTTGGCTAAGGAGAAGGCATTGATGGGTCATCAACCTCCTGCCCGGCCTCAACAGGCAAAGGAACGGGATTCAGTAGATCATCATCATCATCACCCCCACCACCGTCATCATCATCATCATCATCATCATCATCATCATCATCATCACTAATCATCATCATCATCATCATCATCATCATCATCATCATCATCATCATCATCATCATCATCATCATCATCATCATCATCATCATCATCATCATCATCATCATCATCATCATCATCATCATTGGTTCCTTGTCATCTTGTGTTGGGGAGAAGAAGTAAGCAATCATTCATTGTCTGTTAAACACTGAGACTGGCTGACAGCTTTGATGGTGTTTCTTGGGTGCTTCTTGGAAGGAGCATCAAAAGGCCTGGAATTCCTGGACTGGAGCCTTAGCATTGCAGGAGCAGCAAGAGGCTTTGGCATGTCTCAAGTGCTTGCTTTTTGGTGCCTTTCAAATGCAGGCAGAGGAATATCTGGAAGAGGAGCATGGGGAGGAGTATGAGGAGCCGCCTGCGGAGGAGCAGTTTGAGGAGGCGAGGCGTGTGTGCATGTATGTGTGTGTGTGTGGCAGAATTTTAATGACACACTTACTTTTTAGCCACTGATGGTGGGGCATGTGCTATCCCTTGTTCAGTCAACGGCCTGGCATTGGCACATGTGGCTTGTCACTTGTCATTCAGTGTTGTAGCATGTGGAGAGTCAGGTGGCTGTGGAGAGCCAGGCCTGGAGGGCCGGCAAGCCTTCGCTGCATCAGGCCAGCAGGCCTCAGGCCAGCAGGCCCCCAGGCCTGCATCAGGCCAGCAGGCCTTCAGGCTTGCCTCAGGCCAGCAAGCCTTCAGGCCTGCATCAGCAAGCCACCTCTGGCCTGCGTCAGCCAGCCACTGGCCCTCCACCCATTGGTGGCAAACTGTCAGCCACCAGGGCCACCAAGCCTGCTTCCAAGAAGAGGCCTTCCGCACCTGCTGCCAAGAGTATGCCTGTGGCCAAGAGGCACAAGGCAGGGGCTCTGGGCTGCCAAAGTCTGGTATTCATTGTTTGCGTGGCCAGGTGTATGAAGTTGATTCAAATGATGATTCTGCAGTTGGTGAGGAGGCCACTTCCTTGTCCTTGTGCCTGCCTTCCTTCCATGCCTGGATGAGCATGTGCCCAGGCAGCGCCGGAGGAGGCCCAGGCAGCAGCTGAGGATGACTCAGTGACTGTCTTTGTAGGAACGAACCAACTGCCAAGTTGAAAGAAATAAAGGTAAGCCCGCTCTGTTTCATGAAGTTTGGGATAGGCCACCACTAGCCCTGGTGCACACTTCTTGCTGAATGCAGTAATGGGGACAAGGAATCAGCTTGGCTTACTTTGGCAGGAGAAGGATGAGTCCTGGGATGATGGAGGCACGCAGATCCCACAGGAGGCACAGCAGATCCCACAGGAGCTTGCCTCAGAACACAGTACTTGCCCCCAGCTTAAACATGACTGTAGCTTGCATTGGGCTGGCAGGCGCACGCAACCACCAACCATGCTCCTTGTCTGCTCCTGACCAGGAGCTTGAGGACGCTGGCTTCACAGATTGCGGACAATGCGTGTATGTGGGGCCCATGGATAAGTTTGACCCGGACAAGATGTTCCCAGACTTCGACTTTGACAATGTGCCGGTGGCCATTCTCAACTGCCAGAAGAAAGAGCTCCCTGGCTGTTCGGTTAGGTGGACACAAACTGCTGCAGTCCTTTTGCTGTTGGCAGTTCAGGGCCAGTTTGGCAGAGCCAGCCAGGTGCTATGTTGCTGTTTGTTGTGCACTCTTGGTCATTGCCAGTGGTGGGCAGACCACCTTTCCAAGTACAACATCCCCTTCTTGGCAGCCAATCCAAATTGGATGAAGTGGCGAGCCAGCCAGCCAGCTTGGCTGCAATTGCAATAGCTGGGGGGCTGTGGGCAACGCCTCACCCATTGGGCAACTGGGCCATGTGACTACCCGGGTCCAAAACTTGCTCCCTGCAATGAATGGTTCACCTTGGCCCCAAAACACCCTTTGAAGCCTATTCAAAGCCCTTCAACAGATTGGAAAGTCAGAATTCAGAAGGCCAGAAGGTCTTCCCCCATGCTTCTGGCATTCAGGACTTGCGGCTTTGGGCCCAATATTTTAGAATCTTGGTCCATGCCTTTGGCTTTCCAAGGCATGGGTGCCCCTAAAATAATCTTTATGCCTAGGCCATCAAATGTGTTCTGGGGCTTGCATGAGACCATGGCCGCCTCTGCCCGTATGGAAGATATCGTCAGAGTCTGAAGTCGGACATGGTAATCATTGGGGGTTCGACTACCCCCTGGGCCGTTTATTTTGAAATTGCGTTCGTCGGGCCTGGGTCTGCTTGTCAATGGGTTAAGAGTCTGAAACATTTTGTGGCCAGGGAAAGAATACTGATCTGGCTGGTCATGCATAGTGCACAGAAAAATACTCAGCAAGCCAGCCAAGATTGAAGTTCGAGTCTTGATGAACTTGTGGTTGCTGGACTTTTGAAAGGTTGCCCATCAAAACTTCAGCCTAGATGTGCGCGTTGTGTCTTGCTGCCCTGTTGCCCTTAAGGTGGAGGA